TTAGTGTTTTGATTGTAGGAGGAAGTGTTGAACACATAGACATAAACACATTCGTGTTTGGTGTTCTTTTACAACACATGTCAGAGAGCACGGGGAGAGATAATTAAAATAGTCATGAATGAAATAAGAATGTTAAGAGAAATATAATTATACATGTTACTTGCCATTTCATTGTGTAACATTTCATTAAACTAGTTTTCCTTCCAGATCTCTGGAAGGAACCAGATTTGAATAAAAGCTCCTGTTTAGATGCAGTACAGATGAAAAAAAATTGTGTGTCCTGGGAGCTGCTATTGTAAAAAAAACAAATTTCTTTCTTTTAAATTTCTAGTTTCTAGCGAAAAATGTTTGTAAAAGATTGGCCTCGCGTTAGATTCTAGAGCTAAAAGTTTTCAACAAGGTCGTTTTAGACCTCAGTTTCAAACTAATTAACTCTGGCGGGAAGTATGTAAGGATCTTAAGTTTTACTAACGTTTATTTTATTTTAAATCTTTACTATCACTTCTTATTTTCTACTTCCGGCCAGAATTATAAGCTTTAAAGTATTTATGCAAAGTTTGTCTGGCGAACGCCAAGTATTTAAGTTGTGGCTTTTTGCCAAGCGAGAGAGAGGAAGCAGTTAGTCGAAGCAGGCCGCTTACCTTAGAAGTTTTACTCAGTTGCTGGTTGCCTTCCAGGCCAGAGGTTTTAATCCTCTTGATAACTTTAAACGTATTGTAGTGTTCACAGTTCTCTGTACTACATACGGCTTCCTGTTAATATAAGGCCAATCTTCCACGTTTATTATTTCAAAGTTAAGAGTTTAGTTTTATTTTTATATTTTTACGTTTAGACCACAAGTAGTGGGTTTTTGTATTCCGAAGTACGGAAGTTATTGTAAATAGAGAAAAAATAAAGGGTTTTGTATACCCTTCTTGTGTATCCTGTCTACTTCCCACAGTTATTGAACATAGCTTTAGTAAGCTCTCTGTTCCGAGTCAGGTCCTTGCATGTTCCCGAAGAAAGTAAGACGGAACATTAAACCTGATAAGTTAGCCTCTAACCCACACTCCATACGCAAAAGTTAATGTTATCACACAATTTATATATGCCCACGTATTAGATCGAAAGTTTTAAATATATATTAGACCTCAATTATGCATATATCCACTTTTATTTACATATACATGTATACATATATGAAGAGAGAGACAGAGAAACAGGGAGTAATATACATATACATATACATATATATATGGTTAAAGAAGAGCATGTATGTAAGTTTAGTATCTTTCTGACATGGAGAATTTAAAACATGTCGAGCCGAAAGTCCGTTCGAAAGGTTGAAGGCAGGGAAAGAGCAGCATGAAGCCCTTGATCAAAACTGCGATGAAGATGAGGCAGATACCCCTTCTGTGCTTGCCTAAATCCAATCCTATCTAATCCTCTCTCTCCACTTCTCTCTCTCTATATATATATATGCATAATATATGCAGAAAAACGGATAAAGAATATGTACTAGGCAATTATTTTGAAAATTCAAACATATAAGCGAAATCTATTTAAATTATTTTAAATCTATATTGTCTTTTGCTTTAAAAAGGATTATATTTTCAATAATAACTAGATAAACTATAATTTACAAAAAAAAAAAACAAAAAAAAAAAAAAAAAAAAAAAAAAAAAAAGATCGCAACTGATTTCTTCTTTACTAGCCTATCTTAATTTTAACTTTTAAAAAATTAGACATAATACGTCAAAAATTGTGGATATATTAATAATTGAATAATTTTGAATCATCACAGTGATGAGGCTTTATAAAAACGTATCTAAATTACCTTGTTATGGGGGGGATAATTAAAAAAAAACCCAAGGTGATTATTTGACATGTATCTTACTCAGAGACGATTAACTTTTGGAGCATGTATCATCCTTATTTAACATTGCCTTCCAGGCTTTTCTTAAAGGTGAGAAAATATTCTGCTTTCTTTTTTTACAAGCATAATTTGTTTAATTAAAATCTCTAAAGAATTAGATTAATTATGAAAGACTTGTTGACGGCATCAACTCAGCAGATGATTAAAAAGGCTGCCCTTTGGAAAAGAAATCTGTATTTCGGGTCATTAGTGTATTGATACCCTTATGTTTTTCTCATTATTGCATGCGAAATATTTAATTTATGCAAAGTTTAACTATTCTTTGCAAACTATAACAGTCAAATTTCCTAAGGAAAGAAGGAAAAATCAAGTAAATTTTTAATTCTGATACTTTCATATTTAACAGTTTCAAATATTTCTGTGATTTATACAGTCACATTTCAAGCAATAAGGGCAAAAATAAAATATTCGAAATTCTTTTGTACATACAGGGCGTTCCATAAATATTAGTTCACACTTTAAGGGAAGGTAATAAAAGTTAAAAGGATTGAGAATAGCCTGGGAAAGTGGTTTCAAAGGTACAAGAAATGAAGGGATATAAGGCATTTCTCCCGCCTTCGTAGTGTAGCGATCAGCACGCTGGGCGCGTATTCCAGAGGTCCGTAGTTCGATTCTCGGCGAAGGCGTTGCTCATTTTTCATCACTCCTGCTATAAAAATATCCTAATGTCTCTACATTGGCAGCGGAACTAAAAGGGTAGTGGATGATGATTCTTCACCACCTGGATTTGGGGACAGAGTCCCCTAAAACCCTGTCGCCCTTTAAAAAGGGGAAATGGTATTTCTCTCGCCTTTTTAGCAAGCTTTCGTAGTGTAGTGGTCAGCACGCTGGGCGCGTATTCCAGAGGTGCGTGGTTCGATTCCCGGCGAAGGCGTTGCTCATTTTTCATCACTCATGCTTGCATAACCTAATATCTCTACAGGGATACAAGATAGACAGTACTGTAATTACTTATTGCTTCTTAACACAACATGATATTGTAGTAAATGTTCATTTCAAAATGTTACAAAACTTATTCAAAGTTTTCACCATTAATAAGCGATGCATGGGTGACACCGACAGATTATGGGCTGGCGGACACGGCCCAAAACATCTGGATTTACTTGATAACTGCAGCAGCGCAGGCGATTCTTGCAACCAGATCCATTTCAGACTGAATAAGTGTTTCATACACGACAGCTTTAAGTGTTCAAGAAAGAAATAAAAGCTACTCAAATCCAAAGCGTGTGGGGCCTAGGCAACAGGTCCATCATCCGCAATCCACCGTTGACCAAATGACACACTCAAATGTCTCCGAACACATCTTTCATAATGGGATGGCACTCCATTATGCCGAGGCCGCATGTTGCGTTTAACACTTAGTGGCACAAGGTAAAGTAAGTCGGGTACACCTGTTCTATAAAGATGAGATCTAAGCAATCAAACCAGTCCAACAATTGAGAACAGTACCTCCTGGGGATGTACGATGAATGTTCTGCTTTAATGTTTGTACCAATACTTAGGGTTCACCCTGTATTAATGTCTGTTAGAATATACAGTTGAATACAGAATTTTATTTTATGTTTTAATATCTGTTAATGTTTTTTTTCATAAATTTTGAAAAATTAGATGAATATCCGGCGAATAATTGAGTGCTGCAAGAGTGAGTGAGTGAGTGAGTGCACCGCTATGATGGCTTCCGAATACGGATATGAACCAAACGGAATTATATACCATCACGGCGGGGAAGACTCCAAAGTAACAAGGTTGAATATTAAATACTAATAACAGTTTTTACATATTGATAACTGCAAGGCACTAAGCGTTATTCTGGTTATCTGCTTTAAGTTCTGAACATTTAAAACATAATATTATTCACGGTTGTTTCTGCTTAGGCAGTGTCTTGAGATTTTCTCTATTTTATCAAGGGCTATTCTGTTTTTGAGTGTGTTAGACGTCCACATTGCCCAGGCACAGTCCACTGGTTTCTTCAAGTGCCAGGTTCTTGTATGTACACAATGGAAATAATAATGGTCCGTGTCGCCTTCCTCTCCGCATTCGCAGAAAGGAGTATCCCTAAGTCTGAATCTGTTCAAGTATACTGGGAATGGTCCATGACCTGTCAAGAACTGTGTTAGGCTAGCACAGTGGGTCTTTATTTCTATGTTAACTTTTGGCAGTAAGCGAAATGTTCTTCGTCCTACCCCTTTGCCTCTGTCCATCTACGCTGCCAATTTTGTAGCAGACTTGTCAAAGTTGTTCGCTTAATATGAGACCAAGGAAGTTTAGTTGGTCTTTCTAATATATCCGTGCAGTTGGCTGCCTGCTTGGCCAACAGGTCAGCGGCTTCATTGCCTTGAATCCCTGTGTGAGCGGGAACTCATTTTAAAGTGGGTCTTTGCGAAATAGGCATTGTCAGAAGCTGTTTCTGAATTCGGTATACCAATGGACTCCGGTTGTTTTGACTTGCGATAGCCACCAGACTTGATGCCGAATTACTGAGTATGGAGAATTTCTCCTGTTGACATGTGTTCGCATATCTAATTGCAGCACTGATAGCTAGAAGCTCTGCTTGGTATACCGAGTTGTTCAAGCCTAGTTTCCTTTTCCACTCGAATGTTACAACTCCATGTTCCAGTCTACAAAAGGTGTTGCCCGTGCCGTTGTCAGTTTTGGAGCCATCTGTGAAAAGGTTATTACTGTTCCTCTGAATTGGTTGGTCGTTTATGCTGATACTGTCCGAGAGATTAAAAGCTGCTGGATGAAAGCTATTGCAGTTGTTTTGCTCCTCGTAGTCCGAGTGATGAAACGTTGGGTATTGCGGCAACAGGTAGAAGTCTGAGAGTTTGTAATTAACGGTGTAGATTTGCTTCAATTTGATTTGTTTAAGAATAGTGCAGATACATTCGGTTTTAAAGATTTTTGACTATTTTATACCAGTTAATGATAAATTAAAATGATAAAAATGAATGAATTCATTATAAATGTAATGTAAATAGACGCAAAAAGATAAATTAATTTATTTTATACTCATATTTTTTGTATTAGATTTAAGCAGAAATAAACCATAATATATTATATTCTGAAAATAGCGCATAAAATTTACCTGAACTATTGAATGGACGTATGGGTATGATGAACATTTTTCTGGCCATGCTAGCTGATGCCAGAATTCCTTCAGCTGAAATTACAAATAAATCTTTTAAATGAACTGTTTGCTTGCGGAAACTGATCTGCAATAATTTACAAGCATCAAAATATTAAATTTATCTCAAAAATTAATTCTTAAGAAAACTCTTTTCAATTAGTTGTTAATCAGTACGACATTTTTAATATTAGAGATTTCATATTTAGGCAATAGTATAAAAGATTTTAAAGGAAGATAAAAAGTATTGTATTTTGCTACAAAAATAACATTTAACAGAAATTTAGCGAATAAAATGCTAATGAGATACTGACAATGAATCCCGAATTTGTACCTCTAATTCTTGTCTCGCATTAGTAAAATCGAAATATTAGATTGCACAAGTATGACTATTATCTACATAATTTTGCTAAATAGCAGGTCAACTACATGCATCTTTCAGACGTAATCTTTTTAGGAATGTTTGGGAAGTTAGTTACCTGTCAATTTATTATGACTATTTTTCTATACTTTAAGAGCATTTGATATGGTTTGTGCCCTCTTCAAGATAAAAAAAAAAGCTTCTTTCCGATCTTGAATCCTTAATATTTCAAAATATTAAATTCAATAGTTCTTATTTATTCCATTAATATACTCAGCTGAATGTTACTGCAGCGTTACTAATGTCCTGTAATTTGAATCCGAACAGCTATAGTGAGAAAGAAATTGAGAAATTAAGAGGCATCAGGTGTCTCAACTTTATAGATATAACTAAGAAAACAGAGCAATCCAGCAACATCCCGACTAACCATAGGGTTCATGATAGGTAACAACCCGAGATCTTGGCACGGTGCTCTCAAACCACGGCTGCTCTCCATAGTCACCTCCGATACTCACTGAAACAGAAACTTAGTGAGCAGTTCGCCAATACCGACTAATCTAAAAACAAAACACGTAAAATACCAACGACAGTGGATTTACGCAAAGACTACATAGACGGGATTTCACAGAAACTAACAAAATGATATAATGTTTTTAATACAAGAAGCTATGACGGAACATTCTTACTGCAGCGAGCATATTCACAAAGCCTACAGACCGTTTCCTCCACTGTTTGCTCCGATTGGTTAAAACAGAGTAATGTGAGAATTACAGAAACTTGTGATTGGCAACTTTTGCTTTTACCAACTGGCTATTTGATGATAAAGTGCAAGATTTTCTAAAAAACATTATCATACTTATTGAAAGAATCCGCAAAGCCAGGATTGTTACTGATAAACTTTCTGCAGGTTTCAAAGCTGTTACGTACCTTATGAAGATTGCGGAAGAAGAAAATTGAATTGTTCGGAGTATGTCACATTCTTCCTTAATTTCATGATTTATCCAACTGTCATAGGAATATTACCACCAGCTCGTCGGTTTACTGACCTGCAGTGACTTATAAACTTAAATTTGTGTCACGTACAGCTTTCCCATTTCATATTCCATCTTCGATGCTTAGTTTATCATATGTTATTACTACTCTTCAAAACGCATTCAAGATAATCACCAGGTTCTTTATGCATCAACGTTAGAACTTCCTAAGTTCTTTCCCATTTCATATCCATCTTCGATAGTTTATCATATGTTATACTACTCTTCAAAACGCATTCAAGATAATCACCAGGTTCTTTATGCATCAACGTTAGAACTTCCTAAACTGTTCTTTCCCATTTCATATTCCATCTTCGATGCTTAGTTTATGATATGTTATTACTACTCTTCAAAACGCATTCAAGATAATCACCAGGTTCTTTATGCATCAACGTTAGAACTTTCTAAACTGTTCTTTCCCATTTCATATTCCATCTTCGATGCTTAGTTTATGATATGTTATTACTACTCTTCAAAACGCATTCAAGATAATCACCAGGTTCTTTTTGCATTAACGTTAGAACTTCCTAAACTGTTTTACAAGGGGTAGGGCCTTTGGCCCAGGTACCCTGGTGCACCGAAGCACCGTTCTACTGGAGGCGACTTTTGCTTCATCGCCTTTATTCTTTGTATATGAGCGTGCCGTATCGAAAAGTGTGTGAAAACCTGCGGAGAACTGCAGCTCAGCGGTAAGAGCACGGCAGAAATTCTCGGACTTCTAGATCGCCGGTTCTATCCATGCTCGTAACTTTTGCAAACCCTGGCCTTACACGGATTTATTTCTATCCTCACTTTATTGAATTGACTTTGTCATTATTGGTCTTTTCGCCTTCGGGTGCGGTGTTAAAATTTAACACCTTTATTTTCTCAATTTTTGTTTCTGCTAATTTTCCTTACCGTATTCACTGGTTTGTACTCTTTGTAGTAGGTACCAGCAGCAAGATCACGATCCAGGATCCCGAAAACCGTTTCAATGGAAATAGCGCATAATGGAATAAAATATAATTTTAGTCATACTTGCTCATAATTTAGGTAATAAGATAGCCGATGAACTTAAATGCTTATTGAATGTTTTCATTTGGTTTATCTTTTTAATATTTCTTTATTTGTATAAATTAATGCGCTATGAAAATTTACACAACAGACTCTTTCTAATAGAAATGACGAAAACATACATGTACCATTTCTATATAAACACTTTTTCTTGCAAAATAATATCGTACTTTTAACAGTTTAAATTCAAATACAGATATACTATTAATAAGATCAGTATGTTATTTAAAATATACTCCACACAATTCCCCATTCACAAAATAAAAATTATCGAATGAAATAAACGCTGTTTTTCCTCGCTTTATTGAAAGCCTACAAGGTTTGTTTGGCATTAATTACCACGCCTACAAGGCGATAACTCGCCATTCCAAATATGACCGCCAAGCATATGTTTCATCCAATGAGAGCAGACCGTAGAGGACATGGTCTGTAGTCTTTGTGAATATGCCTGCAGCGAGCTGGGATATCCATTTTTGTTGCGCTATGCGCGTGTGCGCTCATCATAGTGCGCCGCATAAAAGATGACAATCTGCGCAATTATTCTTTAAACATATAATCAAGATTTATTATTGATTTTCATTTATTTACTTTGATCCTGTAACTAAAATGCATATTTAATGCACTATAACTTGTAAGGAAATACCATTATTGTTTTGCAATGGAGGGGTTCTGTTTTGCATTCTCAACGCCTCTCTCTTTGGATAATTCCAGGGGACGTCATTGTCATGAGCTCATGGGGCACCATCTCAACGGAGCCCGAACACGTCACAACAAACGTGTGATATTCTCAGCTTACAGAATAACTTAGAATTATTCTTTAAATATCTGCCACTGCTTTAAGCTATCTAACTACAGGTTGAAACATAAAGGTTATATGCCTATCCTTGCAGTTCGACTTTCTCATCGCCCCCTATAGATGGCGACAGCGAAAGGTGCGAGAGAGGAGCGTCTAGCTTTAGCATGGTTTATGCTTCACGCATGCGCAATAGGCATATTTTCAGCATGGTAATCTTCGTTGCTTAACCAAAGAACATCTATGTATGTTTGGCTTGGCGATGAATTCACAATTCCTCCGATTTCTCTTCAGAGATTTTCCCACGTCCGGAACTTTATACGTCATGTGCCTTCGGTCTTTAATTCAAGAACCGGCAAAGTTACTCCCTGCAATAGTTTAGAATATTAAAGTATCTAAGTCTAAGAATTCACAATTCAGACTCTGCGATGCGTAAGTGAAGTGCTGCCGAATGTGTGAAATTTGATGACTTTGTGCCCAATTATGCGAGCAATTATTTATTGGGGACTTAAAAAAGCGTATGGGGTGAGCTTTGTGCCCAAATATTGGAGAATTTACTTACTGGGGACTTTTATGCGGAAACAGACTTTATTCTTTTTTCATTTGTGTTGAACCGCTTAAATTAATGCTGTAGATTTTTTAAACGTGCAATAATCAATTAACTTAACCGTATTTTACATTTATTTTCAAATATATTTTTGTTTGATAGCTCATCTTATATTTGCTGTAATCAAAAAATTTCTTTTCAAATTCATGCTTTCCACAAAGGCCTGTCTCATCAAATAATCAATTAATTTAACCTCATTTTACAATTTCTTTTTATTTCATATTAGCAGTTATCATAAAGGTTCATCTTTTAACAGGCATTCAGCAAAATAACTTACTTTGGTCCTCTTTTTTCGTATTCTTGATTACATTGTCTTACCTTAGTGGTAATTCAAAAGGTAATCTAAGATAGATCTTCGAACATTCCAAACACACAATATTGCCTTTCATACTAATCATGCTGAATATAAGAAATCAGTAACAGATTAACTTCTTCCACGCTTCAAGCTTCTTATACAAGCTTAACTTCTGCACCGTGACTAAATTTAGTGGAATAACAACATGTCTTTACTTGCCAATCTCATGATACATCGCCAATTCTGTACAACGGACGCCAACCAATAACGCTAACGAAGCTCGTCATTGCGCATGCGTGAAGCATAAACCAAGCTAGGGCTAGGGCTACTGGTGCGAGAGCACTTCCGTTTTTCTTTTTGGAGAACTTCTGATACTACTTATCAAACTTATGTTATTTCACGGTATTTAAACATAATGCTTGACAGTAAAAATAAATAAAAAACATAAATCACAAATTATATAATAAATAACAATATTACAAATAGGCAACTTGAATAATTTCCATGTGCTTAATAGTTTTACAGTAAGTTATTTTTTATATCGGAGCATTCCTTTTGATAATTTTGACATTTCACTTTATGGCATGCACTAAGAACTAAGAAATAAATTTAGCATTGAAAATTAAAGAATATTAAAAAATTAAAATAAAATAAAAAAAGGCAAAGATAATACAGGTTGACATTCCAGTATATACGGGGTGTAAACAGAAATTCTGATTGGAAAATATTGCAAAAAAGAGAAATGAGACACTAACCTGAATGAAGGCCAGAACAGTATCGATGGCCGACACACTGTATTTGATGCGTAAAGGGGCAAGTTGTAACTGCAACAAGCCAAAATTTCAAATAATATTGAAAACCGTTAGAATAGTATACATGCATAATATGCTTAAATCGTTTGTAAATAACACTTAAAGATTTCACATACATTAAGAATTTTTGAGATTTTTATGTACTGTACAGGCAACAATATATATGTAATTATATACTACATATAGTGCATCACATAACATGCATATTCACACGCTCTTGTACAGTGAATGAAGAATCAATGTGCAAAGAGCCAATCAGAAAGGATATTAAAATAATACTTGATCAAGAAATTATGACACGTATAAACAGGGAATTAAAATTATAAGGAAATCATGTGAATTTTATGATTTGGAAATATTTCAACAATACGCAAAGCTTTTCTGCTAGTTTTTAACAATCAGTTAAAAAACAATTATTGAATGAAAGTAAAACAAAGTTTGTATAAAAGAATTTGAAAATTTGTTCATTAATAATAATTCATTAAATTATCAAAAGTTGGAATAACCAAAAATAAAGATATATTGAATACAATAAGACCAATACAGAAGTTTTTGGGCTTACATTTCAAAACATTCACTAATAAAAAAATTTAAAAATATTTATTAATATGATTTCTTTCTGGAATTTCCAAAAAAAAACTGCAGTAATTAAATAACTACCTGTTGGCTTTTGTCAGTTGGTTTAAACTCTTTTGTAGGTGATTTATTTTCCATCAGGGCCTGCGAATATTAAATCGATATATCAAGATATAATTATAAATCTTATAAAGCATAATGCATTCGATAAATTCATTAACTCGCAGAAGGACATTTTTGAATTCTAATTACAATTTATTTTATTTTAACGTGCGTGCTCTAAATAGATAAAGACTACTTACATTTGTTTTTGAAATATTTCTGTCCTCTATCTTAATAATTTCAAGCACGATAGCTATTACAGCTTAATTTTTTATTTTTCTAAGTCTAATCTACAAAATAGACTACAACTATAATAAATTGAAATTTGTGGCTTCAGTACAATTTTCTACGAAGATACGTACTTTGTCGTGTTCAAAGGCGTGGTAAATTCTACCACGCACTTTAGTTTTGGCGACGGAAAACCATTGATTGACAGCATCTGCGAACCACACGTGACAATTAGCGACGATTAAGTTCGATTGATCCCTGAAAAGAAAAGAAAACATTTAAGTGCAAATTAAAAATTATTTACGGACAGCAAAATTAAAAAATAGTTCACTTTAATTTGTTCAGCAGTAAAAGTAATTACTGTGGAGTTTTCCTTGCATTAGCAAACACGTAAACAAGCAATAAGATTTAAAAATTAGGGCATATAATTTTTTTTATAAAATTGCCCTTTTGCTAATATGCGGGGCTATTCAAAACGATTCATTACATTTCAAATTACCTATATGTTTGAAGGTTTACAATCACAGAGTAATTACTGATGCATCAAAGAAAAAAAGAACGAAATGTTTAAGAAACTAATGAAAAAGCAACAAGAACTGTACTAAAGGCTGAACAAAAACCTCCGCACGTAGTTAAAAGGAAGATTCTATTTCACATTCTAAAGTAAAATTTTACCCATTTACTCCCGTTATGCTCGTTCTTCTTATTTTTTATTAGGTTCTTAAACATTTAGTTTCTCAGTGTGTTCTTTCTGTTATAAAAGAAAGTCCAAAGTTTTCACTTCACCTCATAAGAGCCGCATTTAAATTCCGGCTATAGGAAACATCAAGGCGATTATTACGTATTCACACTACCGTTCATCGTTATTACATATGAGTAATTATGTGATTTTCGAGCTCATCTAAGATTATGGTATAGCATTTGTTGCGCATATATCATCCTTTCCCGCAATTTAAATGAACTCAAAAATCGCAATTTTATTCTAGGTGAGAAGTTTGTGAAGATAGCCACGTTAGCGCAGTTAATGGGTTGAATTTTGACATTGTTCATGTAATTATAGTGTAATATCCTAACATAATTAGATTTCCTTGTAAGCTAGATTAATAATGAATTATGTAGCGACTATTCGTTGACTTCTTGTAAGTGACAAGTCCAGAGAAGGGTTAAAATTACTCTTTACTCCAATTCAAAATAAATGAACAGGGCCCCCTCTTAAGCATACTATAAGCCTCCACTTGAGCTTTAACTCAAAAGAGAAAATTTGAAACTAACTAATCCTAAATAGAATTAACCAGCCGAAGCTGCACAGAATCAGCTAACGGAGTTGGCCCTTATTTAGTGATCATCGGCCTATCCCAGCAGGGACGTAGAAGTACGGCCGTAGAATAGTAAGCTTAGACTAATAGCAACAACGTGGCCGAAAGGCAGAACACTTTCTTCTACTAAAGTGACGCAGTTTAAATACGCGTTTTTAACTCATTTACATAAACCATAAGCCTGAAATTCATTCTGGCAGGAAAACGTAGGTGGAAAACGAGAAGGAAAGGCTTGTTCCCAAATAAAAATAACTATTAGAAAAATAAAGTAAATCCTACAGTGGGAAGATATATAAGACTGGTTTTGATTTATTTGATTATGGCAAAGCACTGGGAGCTATTTACCTACAGCATATAGGAGAGACGATATACTTGCTTATATGAGTCAGAGACAAAAATTATTTTTGTCTGATACATCATTAGTCTCTTTAAGTTTTAATTGCAGTCATTAAAACCTGAATAAGATGTTATGAAGAAAAATGTACTATAAATAGTGAAAATTTATCTTTCCGAATTTTTTTTAACATTGGCATTGGTAGAAAAGTGTTAATAATTTCATTCGGATTCTAAGAACGGAATAATCATAAAATTTGGTATTATGAACAACGTAAACGTAAGTATAAAAATAAAACGCTGGAAAGATCTTAAAACTAAATTGGCTTAAAACATAAACAAACTTAAAATTTGTTTGTAAATAGCTATGAATATATTTAAGCAATGAAACATTTTATCTAATTAAAAGAAATACATTTCAACCTATAGAGATATTAGGATTTTTGGGAGCATGCAAGATGAAAAATGAACAATCGCCTTCGCCGGGAATCGAACCACGGACCTTTAAAATACCGGCTCAGTGGGCTGACCACTACACCACGAAGGCAAGCCAAAAGAAGGTGGGAGAAATACCTTATAAACCTAGTTCAGCTCTTTCAAAATAAAGACCAGTTATGCTTTTAGGAAGTTTCTCTGATTAATTTATGCAGTAAATTTGTAATAACTCAATATAATGTAGATGTACTAAATGCGCATATGCACATTTATTTAATCGAATACTTGGTAGTAATGCGATACAACGAATCATCTGAAACTTAACAAAAACAATATAAAATGCAACTATGTCTTGCGTGCAAATACTACAATATATTAAAAGAGGTTATATATGCTCGCCGAAATTTACAAATATAGTATTAAAAATTGCACTATCCTAAAAGTGAGGACAACTGGTCGATAAAATGTGATCCTCTGGAATGTTGACGCAGATATTTTATAGTTGATTTTATGCTACAAGATAACAAAGATTTAAATAAAATATCTGTAAGATGGGCACGAAAGAAAACCATCTTTTAAGTTCCTTTTGGCATTAAGGAAGGGTGCAAAGAAGCGAAGAAAAGAAAGCGTTTCTGAAAGATCATTCCACACGCGGATTATTCCTTCAGGCCAAATATAAACGGAAGATTCCGCCCGCAGAAACATACACATCTGTTTATGACAGTTTGATTAAACTGTATCGGTATTCTAAAACTTCAAATCACAAACTGGTTGACGCTGAATCATTGAAAAATCTTTATAATTGTTTTGATGATTTTTAATCTTCAATCGTCTAACCGAAGATTCTTGACATTTTGTAGTCACAGAAAAAGATACGATACCAGATTATTCTTTGACATTTTTAAAATTTGGTAGAAAATAAAGAGAAAGAGGTTTAGTCATGTGGTTTCGTGGCCTTTTGCATGGAATGTTAGTACTATTTTATTGATTATGAGTGTTATAAAATAGCAACTCAAATACGCAAATCTTTAACGTTTCATTAAGTATTATACATAAATTTGTGGTTCATTTTATGTACCGTAAATGTCTTTTTCATCTCATGATTTCATATAAATTTCTCTTTCTATATATGTATATTTTGTATAACTTGTAAATACGTATTCTTAATATATTCTGCTTCCAATGTAGGAAATATATTGCATAAAAATGAAGAAAAGCCAAGACATATTTTTAAAAAATGGAGAATAAGTCTTGCTTCCAAGAAGGGAAAACTTCTGAAAATATTTATGTACTAAATGTAATAACTTATCTTGCAAAGTGCGAGGAAAGCTATATAAAAGACCTAAGCTTAGTGTTGTGGGGTTTCCCATATTTTGCATAGCAAATTTATTTTAAGTTTGATACCTTTTCTGAACTTCACAACACTCCCTCGCATTTTCTCGTCAGGATGTAAGTTTAAAGTTAAGTGAATGAGTATTTAAACGGGTGAATCTCTCAGTTTATTCAGAGCGTATTTTTGCTAGCCAGCGCACAGTTTGTTGCTATTTCGCTGTTACGCTAGTAAGCCTTTTGGCAATTTCGGATAATTGTCAGGCCTGTTAGGTTTTTGTAGCGTCAGCCTGTTAGACAATAACTTAACGTGCTAATTCCAACATTATTCTATTTTACAATTGAATTGATTTATATTCTACGTTTAAGTTTCACCGCTAGTTGACGATGTATTTGTAAAGCACGAAGATCGCGCCTTTCTGTTCTCATATGAACTAATAAAGGGTTATTTTCACTCTTCTTCTGTGCTGGCAATTAATTCATGCCTGGGCGAGAATTCGCCAGGTTCATTGTAGAATCTAATTTAGTTTATGTGTAATAGAAGAGACAGTTTTACAGTGTAACTAAAAGTTTGGGAAATGAAGCTGGTTTTAGCTGCAGTAGAGGATGAAGGCACCGAAGAATATTGGCAGAGGGTAGAATGGAATTGAAAGACAATGTAAGATGTGAAGAAAGAATCTCTATAGATAGTCTAGAAACATCATAAAAACTGCAAAAATTAACGAATGGTAGTAGATAAGTAACGACATGAAAAGGAATCAACAGCGAATAACAGAAGTTTGGTACTAACATTCCGCGCAAAAGGGCACAAAACCACAAGATTGAACCTCTTTTTCTTTATTTTCTACCAAATGTTAAAAATGCCAAAGAATAATCTGGTATCATATCTTTTTCTGTGACTGCAAAATGTCTAGAATCTTTGGTTAGACGATTGGAGATTAAAAACCATCAAAACAATTCTAGTGCTGCTCGAAATGAGAAGAGTTTGAAAGAGAAAGTATATTTTATGATGAAATGAGATATGCTTGTATATACATACATATATGTAAATTCAAACGTCAACACAACATCTTTGTGAAACCTCGAGAAAAATAATTTATATTGAGAAAAGCTTTCGTCAAATATTCTAGAAATAGTTATCAACAGATGATCTGAAAACATAACAGGAAAACATAAAACAGAACACACATACATACACGTCCGTATGAAAAGAGTCTTAATATGCATGTTCATAGCAGCAACAGAAAACATAAACTTCTGTGATCTAAAAGAAAAACGTGAAAGTTAGGAAACTACACTTGCCCCCCCCCCAAAGCGAGCTATATGGCTATATGTATAGACTGCCCTAAAAAGCATTATCAAATTCTAAAATATTGATAAAAACTTGAAAAACGTTTGTATCAAAGAGAAATATTTTACTGAGAAATGTTATACTGAGTGAAAAATGCACTGTTTTTGGGCTTCGTTTAGGCAGCTTTTTCTCCGAAGAACGCTGTATCAGAGGAAATGCAATATAGATCAGTTGTAGTCTAAATACAAGGTCGTCCTCCAGAATCACAAGTTTTTCTGTATATTTGCTGTTGGTACTTATGATCCCTTGTCTGACGTAGTCAGCCCAAGCTTATGACATTCCTCGTGGCAAGGAGCGCAAGATTACGCCTGCCCTTGGCAACAGCCTTGAGCACCTTACAGGTTGACAGTGCATTTTATGTATATTTACTGCTTACCATATGTCTGCTTTTGAATATCACGTTCTTTACTTTATCATCGGTCTGGTTTTGAAGATTACGTTTTTTACTTTACCGTCGGTCTGCTTTTGAATATTACGTTTTTTACTTTACCGTC